TATATTAAAAGAAACATTTTTAATATTGAATCAATCCATATATATTTTTTATAAATTTTTGCACTTAATTATTAATTTACATGAATCAAAMGAAAAATATTTTTACTTAGTTTTTTAGTTGTTCATCAACGAAAATCAGTGATAGTTACAATCCTATCCAAGATATAAAAAACTGTTTCAATTGAATATTGATWTACATATTCCSTTACTRTTTTATTTAATTTWAATATTTTTTATGTTAATTAACTAATGTTATGATAAATTCATTGCATTTCCGTATCTTTAAATTTCTTAACCATTTTGGCTTTATCTCGATGWACAAGATTTGAATAAAAAAAATTGTTCACATTTAAAAATGTTTAACAAAATAAATTTTCGTAACAATCAAAAATTAAATAAAAAATAGTTTCTCATTTGTTGGAACGACCGATATCGGCTCACTATCGAATATAGCTGCCATACARACTGTAGGGAATAAAGTGCTTGTATGAAAGTCTTTTTTGTTTAACGAGCTAACTTCACGAAATTTGGTATAGGTTATTGGCCAAGTATGGATGTGGCGCAATATGCGAAAAAATGTTCAGATCGTGTCACTATTTCATTAAGTCGCCATGCAAACTTCCGAAAAAATTCTGGCAGAGACTCTTTTGTATTTGTGACGTGTAATATAGCTTCGATGCAAGTTAAGGTTTATATATACATACAAATACATATYCCTAAATGAAAAAAATTTTATTTTTTAATATACTTTCGTCTTAATAACTTTTCACAAACAAACATTTTTATGAATGTATCATTATTGCATATACACCCTTCTCTTTTCTCTCGCAGTAGATACGTTCCTCATTAATCCGTGGAAAAAAAACCGTGTGAAAAAAGAGTTACCCAACGTGTTCCGTCTTAAGGTACATTGTATTTCAAATTTCTAAAAACATATAACTGAATTTCCGCCGTAAAAATATTAATAAGATATTAGAATCCGTCAATTTCCTGCTGTAAGTGTATAGGATATTGATTAAAAAACATAAAATAGCTGAAGAGATAAGCAGGTTCGTGGCTTAAGTCTTTCGTGCTGTGAAAAATTATTACCGTCAGATAAAATAAACTTCTTTAGAATTATTGATTTAGCTTTTAATCTCTTAAATAAAGTTTTTATCTAAATATTTTTTTATATTTTTTAAATTAAATCTTTTCAGTTTCATAATTATGCTAAAGATATACACCAGAAAATTGAATTCTTCTAATTCCTTGTCAAAAATTTTACGACGGTAATTCACTTATATTTTTTTATAAATTCGAAAAACCGTGAACCTTAAGCCGGCGCACAATGGGAGATTTCGAAAAATGTGCTTATGTACATATCGTCACCTAAAATGYTTTCACTTTTCATAAGTTTTCAGGCGAAGGAAAACCGATATAATAGAAACMACTCATTTTGAAACAAAATTTGAGATTTGGATATAAAATGGTTATGTATTGGTTATATCTGACAGCGCGAGGTTACAATTTCATGATACATAAAATAAAATGACGTAGTAAATCGTAAGCAATAAAAAACTCAATTTCGATTTTTTTTTAACGTAGTTTTGTATTTCAGGTGACGATATATGTATACAATAATGAAATTTTGTAAAAATTGTTTTTATTTTTGAAATTTTTTTTTTAATTTCTTTTAAATATTTTTATTTTTCACTTCTAAAGTCATATCGTATTATAATTTTTCAGATTATAATG